TAAAAAGAAATTTCGTCCTCGAAATTTGCATACCTTATTCGAAGAGTTGTGGGTACTTTTCCTTCATTTCTGACTCTAGCTCCCAAGTAGCCTCTCTCTCGTCCTGATGATTCCACTGCACCTTCATCAAAGGTATCTCTGCCCGCCTCAACTGTTTCACCATACTGTCAACAATGCGAACAGGCATCTCAGCATAGGTTGCATTAGGACGAATCTGGACCTCTGTGCAGTCAATGGCCTGAGTTTCATCCCTCAAGCACCTCCTCAACATGGAGACATGGAAAACATCATGAACAGTAGATAGTCTGGGTGGTAAAGCTAATCTATACGCCACCTCCCCAATCCTCTCTGTGATCTCAAAAGATCCAATGAATCGAGGAGCTAACTTCCCTTTCTTCCTGCCAAATCTCGTAACCCCCTTCATTGGTGATACTTTCAAGAACACCAAGTCACCCATACTAAACTCCAAAGCACGACGGCGTCGATCTACATAGCTCTTCTGTCGACTCTGAGCTGTGCGAAGTCTATCTCGAATGATGGCAACCTCTACTTTATTCCTATGCCAAAAGCTAAAGAGAGAAAAACAAATAATCATAATAATAAATTCCCACTTCTTCATTCATAATCTCTTCCTCCTACTTCTGCGGCTGCGGTTCCTTTTCACCCGTCTCAGAACTCTTACGTGGCTTTGGACAAAACCTTGCCATATGTCCACTCTCCAAACAATTATAACAATTTCCCCAGAATTTATATGGTTCCTGTCCCGTTTTTGTTGGCCCTACTGATTTGATTTGTCCAGCACCTTCAATTCTTTGTCGTTTCCATTTCTGCTCATTTTGTTCGTCTCTTGAACCCCATTGGCCACGTTGGAACTGATCATTCTTACTTCCTTGAGCTTCTTGGAAAGTACCCTTTCCTTTTCCTTTCTTTTCTGACTGTTGCTCCTTTTTCTTTTGAAAAATATTGTTGTTATTTTCTTCAATTGCCATGGCACATTCCACAACCTTTGCATAAGTGTCACACCTATGCCCAACTACCAATCTTTTAACATGGGAGATCAAACCCCACTCAAACTTTCGAATCCTATGTTCCTCATTAGCCACTATGTGAGGAGCAAACCGAGAGAGTTCCGTGAACTTTGTCTCATAGTCACTAACCGTCATTGTGTTGCTCTGTTCTAATTCCATGAATTCAATTCCCTTCTTTTCTCTCACGGACCGCGGAAAATGTTTTTCATAGAACCGTGTCTTAAATTCTTCCCAAGTCATAGTGGCTATGTCCACAGTAGTCCTAGTCACGGTCTGCCACCACTGGCGCGCCTCACCCGACAAGAAAAATGCAACTATCATCCTTTTCTGCACTTCAGTGCAGTCCATCATCTCAAAATACTTTTCCATGTCATCGATCCATTTTTCGGCATCAAGTGGATCGGCAGCTCTAACGAACTCAATAGCTCCTAATTTACGTATGTCCCTTATGTATGTAGTCATGGGAACTTGTTCCGCATTAGGATTCGGCATTTGAAGTGCCTCATCCATCTGAGCCATGCCACGGCCTGCACCACCCTGATCGGCGCCTCCTTGACCTCTGCCTCTAGCAGGTCGTCCTCGGCCTCTACCAGCTCCCGACATCCTATTTAATGAAAAATGATATAATCATTAGTCTTAACGATCAATCAAACCTAAGATGGAGCATGCTACGGAAGCAGATAATCTACGCATTTCATAACACATTTCATATCTTAAATTCCATTCTTACAACATTCCCTTCACCCTAGGATTCTTAAACCTTATGCTCTGATACCATTTGTAACGACCCACTCCACCACATGGTATGATATTGTCCGCTTTGGGCCTGAGCCCTCACGGTTTTGCTCTTGGGCTTCACCCCAAAAGGCCTCATACCAATTGGAGATGATGTACTTACATATAAGCACTTCACCTTTCCTCTACCCAGGCGATGTGGGACTTGTGCACCCGTAGCTCGCCAGTGTGGTAGCCTGACAGTGTCTCTTGCACCCGCCCACGACACACCCGTCCACAAGTTCATCACAATCCACCCCCCTTGGAGGCCCGACGTCCTCGTCGGCACACTTCCGGCTGGGTCAGGCTCTGATACCAAACTGTCACGCCCCGCACATTCTAACACAAGAACCCTTGTCTTATACTAAAACTTGGTACGTGACTCACATCATTCATCCACCATAATCCATGATTAAATCAATAAGAAAACATTTTTTATTCAAAAATCTATCAATCCAAATGAAATTTATTACATCCCCAACTAATTCAAAATTCCACCAACTAAGTGAATCTTATTACAAAGTGTTCACTAAGAAACAATAACAAAATCATAATGTAGAAATCCGGAAATCTCCTTCTCTCACTGAGCCTCCTTTGCAAGCTAATCCATATGCACCTGAAAGTAATAAAGGGGTGAGCTCACAAGCTTAGCAAGAAATTGCTAAACACTATCATCGTTCAGCAAGCTAATCCTTACTTAAAATCCATATATATATATATATATAAGTGACCGCGAAATATTTACTAAACATCGTCATTCTATAATATTAACTCAACCTGTGAAAATTGTAACCCATCTAGAATTTAAATTACTAAAATTCCCGCTTACCTCACATGAGCCCCTGGCTCCCCTCAATCAGTTGGCGTTTTTAATGCCATTACCTCACATGAGCCCCTGGCTCCACTCCAAATAAATGGTGTAAATTGCGTAGTCCCTGACTACCAAATATACACATGTGGCTGGGTTGTACGTCTACTCACCCAGATGGCCCCTGACCACGTCCACATACTAAGGGCACCTTTAGCCCAATGGCCATAACAAAAGAGTATTTCACTCCCGAAGACAGTCCCTGACTGCGCTCAACAAACTTATCATTGGGTAAGTCCCAGACTACCATTCCAACTAGTTTAATCTCTTTAATTAAACACTAAATATACTTAATCAACTTTTACTCATAATATCATGAATTTATCCAACACCTTAATTAATCATTCACTAATTAATTAATTAATTAATTAATACCAACGCATAGTCCTAGAATAAATTACAAAACTATACTCTAAATTTCAACCTCAATATCATTCAAAATTGTTCTTCCCTTAACTGTACTCATCTTCCTCGATACCCATTCTTAACCTATTATGCCAAAATTAATTCTTTACCATTTGGTACCCAATTGACCGAACATAAACTATATATATATACCTCTGTCGGTAGTCTGCACACACACAAGTGATCCCAAATCCAACCTCTGTAACGAAACTAATCCAAAGACAGAATTCATAAACAAAAAACACTCCTGTGACGCACACAATTAATTTGATCACCTGGTCCTCCAGTGGATTTGCACCATCATTACCCATATTTCCATCTTTCCCTTTTATCTAACAATCAACAACCTTATTTACGTACAATAAATTTTGGCAAAGACTCCTACTGCCAGCATCATCATTACAAGCAACTATTCAATAACCTATGTAAACATATAAAAATACCTATACCTTTTTCAATACCTACTGACTTATGTAAACATATATACATAAATTTAACAAAAACTTGCACATGTACCCAGAATAGAATGATGAGTCCATCCTTGTAAACAATCTGTCATGTGAATTATATATATATATATATATATATATATATATATATATATATATATTGTATCCAGTCAACCTTCAACTATAACACCTATACAATGATCAGATTTATTAATCACTATATTATATAATTACCGAGATCATTAATTCATATCATCAAAAAATAATGCTTTATCATTCAAATTCTCGCCTAACATAAATAGCATTAAGTAATCCACCAACAATCCTTATTACCATACTTCATAAATCATACTAGTAACATCACCCCTCTTTACAAGAAATCCATAATAAAGAAACAATCTATTTTTGTATATAAGATCTAGCCTGCAGATGAAATAAATAGCAGCTTTGCAATTTAAGAAAAGTCACTTCCAGATTCAAGACTTATATATACAATTTCTACTACTCTAACCAAAATGAAACATCATGAGTGATATAAAAAAATTCATAGATAATCATCTTACTGTCAATCACAAAATTATATACAAGATATAAGTAAGAATTAACTTGCCTGACAATGGAATCTGCTTAAGCCTCTTCGTTACTCACAGAATAGTATTGCCCGTAAAAAAAAATAATGCCGATACACCAAGTCTAGATATATATCTAGTAGTTGAGTTCTATATGGACTCTTAAAATAAATAAAAAAAATAAAAAATAAAAATCAACTAAACTGATAGCCTGATATCTCTCAAATTCCATTATACGATAACCCTCATAATTCGACATAGATATATATTATATGGATAAACATGAATTCAAAAATTAATATATATATATATATATATATATATATATATATATATACACAATATATATCTGGTTGTTACACTTAAGCTCTGTTTTGCTTCTGATTTTCAATTTAAAGAGAGAGTGGTAGGAGATTGAATTGTTGGGTTTCAGTTGAGTAGAGAGAGAATGGTCATAGAGAAAGGGGCGGTATAATGAGATTTGGTCTGATGAGAGAGAGTAGAGAGAAAACGAACTGCAGAAGAGGAAAGAGAAAGGGTGTAGTAATGCAATTTGATTCAAAAGTAAAAGGATATTTTAGATAAGAAATTAAAATGAACAGTAAAAACCACGTACACATCAGCATTTGGGTCAACCTCATTTTTTATTGAAACTATCAGACTTTGACTTAACTTTATAATAAATATGGCTCCATAACCATAAGTACATTTATATGTAAAAATTTTAAAAAAAAAATGCAAATGAGGCATAGTAAGATTGACAGAGATTTAAAAAATAGGTTCTAAATGTCTGCTTTCCACCGCACTCCTAATTTGTGGAGTCAATACAAGTGCTTAAGGGAGAAAAAACTGAGAAAAAAAAAAACAAAAAAAATTATATATATATATATATATATATATATATATGTGCAAATGGACATAATGGATAACAATTGGATATTCGTCCCGCCCAATCACATGTACGCATAATCAATTTTATTGTTTTTTTCTGCATCCGTTCCAACCCATACATTCATTTCCATGCCCGAGATCAGATCACCACCATGTGTACGTTGGAGAAGCGCGGGAACATCTTCTTCCTAACCCTAACCGGAGACGACGAGCACCGGTTAAACCCTACACTCATAGCCTCTCTCCGTTCGGCTCTCTCCGATGCCAAGTCACAGTCCACTCGCGGCTCGGTTTTAATCACCACAGCGCAAGGCAAGTTCTTCTCCCACGGCTTCGACCTCAAGTGGGCCCAAGCTGCCGGCTCTGCTTCGGCCTCCAAAAACCGGCTTCTCCAGCTGGTGGAACTCTTCAGGCCGATTGTCGCTGACCTGTTGGCCCTCCCGATGCCGACCATAGCTGCGGTGACCGGACACGCCATTGCCGCGGGGTCGATGCTGGCGATGAGCCACGACTACGTCCTCATGAGGAGCGACAGAGGCGTGCTCTACATGGGCGAGCTCGACATAGGGCTGACTATACCGGACTACTTCATGGCACTGGTGAGGTCGAAGGTGGCTTTGGCGGAGGCTCGCCGCGACTTGCTGTTGAGAGCGTTGAAGGTCAAGGCGGAGGAGGCGGTGGCTATGCGGATTGTGCACTCGGCGCACGGTAGCGTGGAGGGCACGGTGGAGGCTGCGGTGCGCCTTGGGGAGGAATTGGGCAAGAGAAGGTGGGACGGCGAGGTGTATGCGGAGATAAGGAAGGGGATGTATCCGGAGCTACGTGGCATGCTGGGGTTGGAGGAGAAGATCATAGTCTCACTCTCTCCACGGCTTTAAAAAATCACAAAAGTGTTTTCTGTGCTTTATATATTCTCCTCAAATTGCTTTGGTTGTGGTGTGGCGGTACGAGGAAACCAAATTAATCTGTGATCCTCCGTTAAAAGGGAGAATAGTTAAAAGATGGAAAAGAAAGGATTAAATGTAATAGAAGAGCGACTAAATTGGGGCAACGGATTATATATGAACACAATTTTAGAATTTTAAATAGGGAAAATTACATATAAATGGAGTTAAAGTTCCATATTTATTTAGAGGCTGAGTCAAAGTTCTATATTTCTCTAAAATGGATTGCTGAGGTGGCCCATGGGTTTTTACTGTTTAGAAATTGTGATGCCTAAAATACCCTTCTTCGAAGGTACTACTTTTTTGAACTGAAGGTACTACTTTTTGGCGTCCAGATACCATGTTTTTTAAACACTCGCGAAGGTACTACTTTTTCTCCGAAGGTACTACTTTTTTGAATTGAAGGTACTACTTTTTTGAACTGAAGGCACTATTTTTTTATTAGGGAAGAGCATTTTAGGCACCACAATTTTTTAAACAGTAAAAAATCATGTGCCACCTCAGCAATCCATTTTAGAGAAATATGGAACTTTGACTCAGTCTCTAAGTAAATATGAAACTTTGACTCCATTTATATGTAATTTTCCCTTTTAAATATATATATATATTAAGAGAAATATATTTCATATACCATATCAATTTGTATGATATGTAAGTATGCCAAGTATATTAGAAAAAAATAAAAAGAATGCCAAGTATAGCATACAAATTGATGCAATCTTTAAGTTTATTCACTGGTACAGGAGGTAATAGCTTTATATCACATGCAAACAGCAATTAGTAACTAATATAGTGTCAATACCAAAAAATTCTTGAAATTAACTTCTAACTACTGAAAGTCTAATTAAAGAGCGAATAAATTTCATGGGAACAACAAAATACCAGCATTTTAGTGATGAATTCGGCAAATTGAGTTGTTACAATACTAAAATTCATAGAAAAAATTTAATGTTGAACACCTATTATTACATTGGAATTTAATCTAGGTCATTCGCTCGAATTAAAACCAAAAGTTGAGAGTAACCATTTGGAAACAAGCAAAATCTAAATAATGAAAATGTCCTCATAACTTATGAAGAAAAATTATACAAAAAGGATTGAATGTCAAATCAATAATCAAAATTAAGATTTTACCTAAAAATATCGAATTGAGGATGAAAACGATTAGCTGGTGTTTGCACCTTAAAATAAAATTTTAGATTGGCCACATGGCATTAGCCGATTAGAGGGAAATACGATTTTGTTTTAAGAAAAGTGATGTCAGTTGGAAATTGTTATTACTAGAATCATATTCAAATATAATTACCATATCAGCACATGGTATTATTTTTGTTTAAGATTATAGTTAAAGGCACATAAAAGAATAGGAATAATTTACCGTGCATACTCTTCTCCTTGTGGAGGATTTAAATAGGACACAAATAATTACAAATTAAGAAGGAAAGAAATTAAAGGCTAAAAGTCAGCTCCTATAATTATGTTAATCAACACATGTACAACTAATTATCTATATATTTTAACAGTTATATAGTCAATAGTATAACTAATTATCTATATATGTCAATACTCCCCCTCAACCGGAAAATAAATGTTTTGGATTCTCAACTTGGCAAGAGCATAAATGAACATACACTTTGCTAGAGACTCCTTTAGTCAAAATATCAGCAAGTTGATCATCGGTCCTCACATAGCTAAGGAGTGCAAATCACACCACTCCTCTTTGATAAACTGTTTATCAATCTCAATATGTTTAATCCAATCATGTTGCACAGGATTATGAGCAATGCTAATGATTGCTTTATTATCACAATATAGCTTCACAGGACTTTGACAAGCAATCCTCATTTCTCCCAATAGAATCTTCAACCATAATAATTCACATACACCATGACACCGTGGGCTATACCTCTGAATTCAGCCTCGACACTAGATCTAGCCACAACCGATTGCTTCTTATTCCACTAAGTAACTAGATTAATGCCACCCACAAATGTGCAATATCTTGTAGTTGATCTTCGATCCGAAATAAAACCCGCCTAATCAGCATTTGTATAGGCCTATACTACAGAGTAATCATGTTTAGAAAACAAAAGACCCTTACCAGGTGTTGATATCAAGTATTTGAGTATCCTCTCTACTGCCTGCATATGAACTTAACGTGGCTCGTGCATGAACTGATTGACAAGACTCACTGCACAAGCTATATCAGGTCGTGTATGAGCCAAATATATTAGTTTTCCAACCAACATTTGATATCTCTCTATGTTAGCAAGTGTATCATCAGTTTGTTCACCCAATCTATGATTCTATTCGATAGGAGTATCCACAGGCTTGTAGGTTAACATCCCTATCTCAGTTAAAAGATCAAGTATATACTTTCTCAATGAAACAAAGATTCCCTACTTTGAGCAAGCCACTTCAATACCTAGAAAATATCGCAGGGCACCCAAGTCTTCAATTTCAAATTCCTTGGCCAAATCTACCTTTAGTCTCCTAATATCCTCAGTATCATCTATCACTAACCGAAATTTCAAACAAAATCTTCAATTTATACAAATCAAAATACACCCATGATCATTAAAAAAATGCCCTCTTTTATACAAAATCAATTTCCTCGATGTACACAAAAATTCTCCAAATAAATAAATTAAATCTTACAACGCCGACTCTTCCATCTAAGCCTGAATCTAGCAATCCCCGTTCATCCTCGGTACCTGAAACTGGAGGGTGGTGAGACAAAAGTCCCGGTAGGAAAAACCATAACAAGAATTTCATGGAGGTTTAATAAAACAGCTTCACAAAACATACATATTCATGTGAGTATATAAACAAAATAGATATGCATTTAATTAAAACATTTAATAAAAATCATTGAAGCAAAACCACCCCATGCCATTCAAGGTATAGAGAACCCTACACTGAAAAAGAATTTCCTCACTAGATTACCAAGTCCGCAAACCTCCGGCCCTCTCTGAAAACTCAGCTCTTCTCTGTCCTCAAACTCTCAGCCCTCTATCTGCAAACTCTCTCTGTATTTCAACTTTGCTCTCTTTCTTTCAATACCTGTCAGTGCACAAAACACACGCTTAAATAAGCAATTTCACTAACTTCACAAAAAAAATCAGCCAACAAACCCCACATGCAAAAAGCTAAGCAAAGGCCAAGTAGGTCCCAAATCCTTACAACTTTTCCTTCTCTCATCAACCTGCTCCCTCTACTTCTCAGCCCACCACACAAAACAATTACACCTTGCAATAAAATAGTTGAACCCATTTCTCTCTCCTTCTCATCACCACACAATCCCACTTTCAGCTTACAAAAGCCACATAGAGAAATCAAGTTCAAGTCAAAAAGTGATTTGCCAAAATCTTATCATTTCATATACCATGTGAAGGCAAAACAATTTTGCCCAAAAGTCAAAAAGTCAAGCCCAAATAATAACATTGTGGGCCCCGCAAGTACACACCACCATCATTAAAAAAAATTCTCTCTTCCCACTTCGGCCACCTACTCACATCTCCTCCTTATCTCTAATTTCCACCACACCTTCTCTTTCTTTCCACTTCACAACACACACAAAATATATATATAAAGTTACAAAAATAAAGCCACATAAAAAATATCGTGGGACCCACACTATCACCATCACAATTGCTTTCTCCATTCCCACTCGGCAGCCACCCATTTGCTTCTCCCTTTTGCAAACAAAATTACATATATATATAAATGAAACAAAATCTAACCCCATTGAACATCATTTTGGTGGGACCCGCCCACCATTACCACTTCTCTTTCCTTTTCCCATTTCAGCCACAGCATCACCATTTGATGCCCAAAAAAATCATGTACAAAACTCCACTAACTTAATAAATAAATAATTAAATAAAATTAATTTATTAAAATTAACACTAAAGAATAAAATATTAATTACCCAAAATCACCAATAAAAATTTAAATACTCAATCTTGACTAAAAATCATAAAATAAAATTTAAATAAAAATCTTTAAAATCTGGGTTATCACATCATCCCCGGTCATGATGATATCATCCACATAGACAATAACAACTGTAATTTTACCTCCCTAAGAATATCGAAGGAATAACGTATGATTTTCTTGACTAGGATTATATCCATACTTTTGCATAGCTTGTGCAAATCTACCAACCCATGCTCTAGGAGACTATTTCAGGCCATATAATGATTTTTTTAGTCTGCATACTTTCCCCTTATTGGTACTTTCATCACTACCTGAAGGAAGGCCTATATACACTTCCTCCTCTAGATTGCCATGGAGGAAAACATTCTTAACATCAAACTATTGGAGAGTCCACTCCAGTTAGCCGCTAAAGATAACAAAATCTGAATAGTATTCATTTTCGCAACTGAAGCAAATGTCTCCTGATAGTCAATGTCATATGTCTGAGTATAGCCCTTTACCACCAATAATGCCTTGTATCAGTCAATCGACCCATCTGCCTTATGCTTTATGGTAAACACCCATTTGTAGCCAATAGTTTTCTTTCCTTTCAGCAACTCCACCAACTCCCATGTAGAGTTTTTTCAGAAAGCTCTCAATTCTTCAACCATCGTCTCTTTCCACCTTGGATTGTTAAGTGCATCCTGTAATTTTTTAGGAATAGATACAGAAGACAACTGATAAGCAAAGGCTTTAAAGGATGGTGAGAGACAATGAGAAAACATAAAACTTGAAATATGATATTTATATTTTGACTAACAAGTACGATGTGATTTTCTCAAGGCAATATGCAAATCTAATTCATTAACAACATTAGAATCATCTGGAACATTAGGATCTACATTACTATTATCAACAATAGAAAATGGAGATTCAACAAACTCTACCTTCGGATTACCTGTTATCGGGGTAGACTGATCATTTTGCTCGAGAGATACATTTTTCTCTTCTTAGATATACCAACTCAAATGGAGACATATTATGACCCTTCAGATGGAGAGTCAAAGAACCGCCTTTATTTTTTTCATTTTTTTTCATTTTTTTCATTTCCAATCTCTAATTCAAACATAAGCACAATATAAGACTTTTCTTCACTACTTAAGGTCTACTCTTGAAGAGAAGTCATAGAAGCAAGACTAGAAAAATAGGCCTGTTCCTCATGAAAAGTAACATCCATAGAGGAAAAATAAAAAATAAAAAAAAATAAATTGACGGAGGCTGATAACACTTATAACCCTTCTGAATAGCAGAATAACCGAGAAAATTTCATTTTAGGGAACGAGGGTCAAGCTTACCACTGTGATGTACATAAAAAAATCTTATACAACCAAAGACTCGAGAAGGAAGATGATTAACAGTAGATAGCGAGCAAGAAGTAGTGAAGACCTGAAGTGGATTTTGGTATTGAAAAACTCTGGAAGGCATTCGATTGATCAAATAGGCTGCCGTGAGAACAGCCTCCCCCAATATGACTTTGGTACTATCATGGATAGAAGCAGAGAACAGGATACTTCAAGAAGATGACAATTTTTCCATTCGGCTACTCCATTCTGTTAAGGGGTATTGGTGCAAGAAGTTTGATGGATAATGACATGATTAAAAAAAAAAAAATTGATTGTAGATCGGAATAAATGTACTCACCCCCATTATCAAAGCAGAAGACTTTTATCTTTGAATTGTATTGTGTATGGATCATTTGATGAAATGACTTAAAAATAGAGAAAACTTCACTTTTTTTACCCAAGTAACTTGTAGCAACCCGAGTTTTTCAACCCGGTTCGTTAGTGATGAACCAAAAGTTAACCCGAGAACGAATCCGAAATGCGGAAGCAAAAGATAGAAGCAAAGTCTATAGAGATATAGACCATCTCTAAGACACCAATGTGACCTTCCAAGAAGTCATGGAGTTCAAGGAGAACGAAAACAGAAACAAAGGTCGAAACAGACAAAAACCATGAACCAAGGGCAAAATGGTCAACTCACAACCAAAAAGAGAAACTTGACTCTAAACAAGTCAAATAAGGTGAAAACAACCTAACTTAATCATTTCATGACTTTCCAAGAGATTCTAAGAACATTGAACAAAAATCCCACAAAACGCCCTTTCCCGGTTTAAGCGAAAACCGACACCCTCTCACTAAAACTTAAATAACTCCCACTGTAATTGGAATCTGGAATGGAATTGGTACCATTGAAAAGCTGACTCAAAATTCATGAATTTAGGCTTAAGAATCACCCCATTTGGATTTAAAACGAAGGAGTTATGGTCATTTGAAGTCGGAAGAACAGTGCTAAAACTGGACTGAAGCTACTCTCGGGATCTAGCTATTTCGGTCGACCGAAATGACCCATCAGACGACCGAAATGAACAAAATTAGTGCTAAAAACAAGTCTTTAAGGCTTGGTTGGTTTGACACACCAAAAGGAACCATCAGTCGACCGAAATGACCCTGCTGACATTGGCTACTGGAAAGTGAAGTTTCAAGATTCAAACAAAACCCAAAAGGCTTCAGTCGACCGAAATGACTCGAGAAAGTGCACTAACCTCCTGTTATGCATCCATGGCTAAAAGTCCACTTGGAATCCCCCATGGCATGTTCAATTTGCATTATATGCAAGTATGTGATGTTGTGAACATGCACGCAAGTGTAATATGGCATTCTAAACATGTTACAATGGCCTACAGCCTCATTACATTCCATTTACAAGATTTGACATGCCAAACCTCCAAGTTAGGAAAATTACATTTCATGGACAAATCTTAAACATGCTAACACTTGCATGTGAACAAGAAAGTCTCTAAAGAAACTTTAATACTGTAATTCACCCAAAGCATGTGCAACCACCAATCTCGTACCCTGTACCTGAAATATGCCCCAGTAACGTAGGGGTGAGCAATATAAAGCTACTCGTAGGAAATGAGCATACATCAACCTAAGTTTTTACAAGTTTGCATGATTTAATCATTGTGGTTCATTCCACCTAACGTTTAAGTCAAAGGTGAGACTCAGGGAGCATCCTAGCTACCTAAGATCATTACTAACATAAAACACATCCTTTATGCAATTTCAATAACACAATAGCATGCTACACATAGCAACAAGATATAACATGCTTACACAAAGCAACTAGATAGGAATATGCTTACACAAAGTAACAAGATATAGATTTTCAAGGTAACCAATTTAAAATCAAAAATACGAAATCAACTAAATATAGCAATTTAGTATAATGGGAATATCTAATACCACACATCAAAACATAGATTCTCTAGACTATCAACTAGAAATCTAAAAGTGTGAAATCAACTAAATATAACAATTTAGTATGGATATACTTAACAACATCAAATCGCCAATAGCCAAAACCACAAGTCACAATATAAACATGATTGATAACTTAGAATTGAATGCGAAAACAACTAGTGGAAGACTTGGACATCGCGCTTGGAATTCTGCCGAGACCTCAAGGGTTATTTCGGGCACTAACCCGCAGGGAAAACCACCCTAAGTGCGTACTCTCTCAATTGGGAAGAACCCATACCTCCCGCACTAAAGCCAAACTCTAGCCATGTCACATGTAACAACAATGTCCCAAGAGAATCCAAAATATACCAAATAAGTTCAGAACTTATACTTAATTTATATAATGCACGAAAACACCTTCCATGCACAAGTAGGTTGAAACCACACAATCCATGTCTTAGGATTCAAATTCTAAAATGGCATACCTAATGTCAACACAAAGTGTACAATTCATTACACAAGTCAACAATATATTCCATAAAGAAAACATGTTCTCATGAATATAAATATAACAATAAAGTTATCCAATGTTCAAAACATAACCAAGTGAATATACAATAAGTCCAAATCCATGATCTTAAAATAGAAGTAACTTCTAAAACATGATTAAATCCATGGATAAACAAGATAGAATTTAATTACATCAAAATAACTAAACTCTCTAGATTTCAAATCATTTCCAAATAGTCTCAATTTAATTTATGTCAAAACACACATCATGGTCATCACATATATTCACATAAAAACTTAATTAGGCCCACGAAACCACAAATTAGATTTTAATTAATTCTCTTAATTAAAGTCTCTAAATTTTCAAACTCAACCAAATGCTCTCAAATTAAAGTATGTTAAAAAACATGCCAAAACTTAATTTAGAAGTATAATACAACTCAATTTCATGCAAGGTATGGCCATGAACTTTAATCTTTCACAAAAGATAAATATTAATTAAAAAGTGCAATTCTCATTTAATTAATCCCAATTTAATATATGTTAACAAACATATTAAAACTAGACTTTCTAGTATGCCACAATTCAAATCAAAGTTATATATCATCATGAATTTTAAATCTTATACAAAGAAATAAAAATTACTAACTTTCTAGATTTGATACAAGGTATACATATATGTTGTATAATCATGGCATACACACAATACAACACACAAATAATCCTAAAACATTCCCTACCTCCATGTGAGATGAAATCTCAAATCCCCACCAAAATGAATGTGCTCCGAATCCGACGAAACTTCTAGCTTTTGTCGTAGACAACACCGTGAACATAACCCCCAAGGAAGCCCCATCAAATTCACATCTTGACTTCAAACCCGAACTCAAGAAATGGCCAAAACTGAATTCTAATAAGGGGGAATGGAAGAGCACGTCGAGGGGAACAATAA